ATTCTTATAGTTATATATAATATATTAGCAAAATTTTAATACTATTTTTTTGATTCAATTTTTTATAAATAACAATTATTTTTTTAAATTTGTTCAGGTTTTGCCATTTTGCCAGCAAGTATAAGGTTACCTCTTTACTCAGATCTTTTAAGTAGGCTTTCATTTTTCTACCTGGTTCTTGTGATTTACATAATCTAATGACTTATTTTAGATTTATACTGTCTGGTACCAGTTTGTATTTCTTCATACAATGTTGTACAAATGCCTAGACCTTCCAGTTATGCTAGTATGACACAGATTACAGATATTTAATCCAAACTAATTACAAAAAACAGTTAATCATAATACAGAAAAAATTGCAAATTTTCATTATCACTAAGATTTGAACTCTAAATCTATCACTTGGGAGTTGACAACCTATTCACTTCACTAGATCACCATACCCTTTTCTAAAAACTTTTACTTAAAAATTAGAAGTTAATTATTATAATAAATTTTTGTATTATTTATATTTTTTTATAATTTTTTATATTTTTTATACTTGTTTTATTACACAAAATTCTGTATTTTATTGAATCTGAATAGAATTAAAAGTTATCTTTAATTTAGAATTTTTTGAACATAAAAGTATTTGATATTTTTAAAGATTTTCTTATATAGAAATTATAACTAATTACATATATACTTTGATATTTAATTAATAATCAAACTATATATTACTATATAGACTTTATACTAGATATTATATATGCAAACCAACTATAAGTTTTACTTATTTAATTTAAATAACTTATTATATCAATATACATAATTGTTTATACAGTTTATATTTTTAACTACTACATTTCAAACAATAAATCAGTTCAACCTTAACCTAAATTAAATCATCTTGATAACAAAATAGTTGAGTCAGATTGACTTATATATAATTTACTATTAAAAACAGCTACTACATAGAACTGTGATAATATAAATTTCAATCTATCAAGAATAGAATGGATTAATATAAAATTATAAATTTGCAAACCAATTAATTATATAAAGGGTTTTTTGATATTAGATTTGATCTAAATTATATAATATTACATTATATAATAATATTATATCAAATAAATTTTTTTTCTTAATGACATTACTTTTAAATAAATATTCTAATCTGTGGATCAGTAATGTAATGATTAACATTCCCAGGTTACATTCACAAGGTTGCTGATTCAATTTCAACTGGGAAAAAAACTGTACCAGAATCATGAATGTTTATGATCTTAAGAGGATTTCCTATTTTTACTTCTGAACAAGAGTACTATAGTAACAAACAAGTCACATGATATAATCACAGAATCACATGACACCCAGATAAGGAGATAATCCAACAAGAAATGTTGATAACATAAGGGTTCCTAGATTAGAAAAATCATGAAAAAGATATACCAAAAAAAAGAAGACAGAACCTGTAAAGCCGTGTTAATATGGAACTGCGGACCTCGAAGTTGGGGGTCCTACACCGCGGGGCCAGGGACCCGGGTTACCATAGGTAAACTTGTTAGCACGTGGTATGGAGGGACTAGGGAACACCACTGGTGATGTACGTAGTAACAATATATGTAAACTTGCAGGAACCAACCTTAATAAAAGAGCGCCACCTGCGCCCCTAGTTGCAAGTACAACAGGGATATTCAAAAAAAATAAAATAAATATCCTCAGTGCAAAAATGACTGTTATGAAGAAGAAGGAAAATTTATTGTACTTTTGCAAACGTCTTGTTGATCATCGTAAAAAACAATCTAGATTTATGTTCAAAAGAACTATAACATCAGCATCGAGTTCTTCCCCATTCTTGATGTCCGTTTCTAACTAATCATATCGAGTTGGACTCTCATTTGCGGATCAACGATATTTTAGTCAATATTGTAGATTATAATTCGAACAAATCCAAAGCTCCAAACAAATAAAAACATTTGTAATTTACAAAAATTAAAACCATAAATATTTTTTTAATATTTTTTATTTTTTTAAAATAATCTTTAAAATTTCATAGCAAACTTTCTGAAATACAGAAAGATTCTAATAAAATCTTAAATCAAGTCAAAAAAAAAAAATTATTTAAAGATCATATAATTTGTACTTTCATTATAATAAAGAAATAAATCATATTTGGATTTGAAGTTTAATATCAATTTAAAACCTTTTGATCAATATATTTTTTCTCAATTAAGTAATCAAGTATTAGCTAAAGAGCAAGGTCGATATTAATTTACGAATTAAATCTTAAAATCTAGCAAAATATTTTATTTACCTTAATACTTTCTTGTAAATTTAATTTGTCAGTACGAATGTGAAGTTCCGGGGATGGTGGTGGTTCATAGGGTGACGAAATACCGGTGAAATCTTATAATTTCGAGAAAAGAAATTTTTTTTGAACGTTAACAATTGCTAGATTTTGAGAGTAAATTCGGTAATATTAGAATACCTTTAATTTCACCCATTTTAGCTTTTTTATATAATCCTTTTGGATCACGTTTTTCAACGACTTCAAGAGGTGCATCAACATAAACCTGTAAATAATCAAGATTTAAGACAGAGCATATTAAAAAATGCTATAGTTTAAATTTTATAAATTTTTAACAAACCTCAATAAATGGAATTTCACTATCTTCATGTAATTTTCTTGCAAAATCACGTTGAGATTGGAAAGGAGAAATGAATGAAGTAAGAGTAATTGTTGTAGAATCTGCAAATAATTTTGAAACCTATTGATAAAAAAAGATCATTTGTTTTAAATTGGTAAAATATAAATGTAGAAGCCAAATTAAAAGCAAAATAAATCCTTAAAACTCACCTCAGCGATTCTTCTAATATTTTCTTCACGATCTTTTCGTCCAAAACTTAGATCCTTATTAAGTCCAAATCTAATATTATCCCCATCAAGCCTATAACATGATAAACCTAAATGCAATAAATGTTGTTCTAGGGCACTTGCTAGTGTAGATTTTCCCGAAGCAGATAGTCCTGTAAACCAAATCGTTAAGCCTTTTTGACCTAACAACTTTTCGCGTTCTGAGCGTGAAACATGGCCCTCGTGCCAGGTAATATTTGTAGACATTATCGTTATAGGCTACTTCCAAGAAAAGTAAAAGACCAAATAAATAAAAATATATATATATATATTTTGGGATAAGAAAATCTATCCATTCTTTCGCATTACGTACAAATATTAGTAAGGTTAATGTATATATTATCAAAAGTATATCTTTTGTCTCGTTACACAGATCTTTTGTCGGTTATTTCCAGATAAAGTATGCAATCGGCATACGTTTTCCAAAAAAAACTTTATATCAAATATTTGTGCTTGGAAGTTTTGCTACACGTAAAGAAAAGAAGAATAATAATTTAAAAGGATAATGTCAATTAAAAACATAAATATTTACCGAATGATCTTATTTAAAAGAATTCTATTCACATCTCAAAAAAAAAACAAATATCCTCTAACAATAACAACAGAGCAAGAACCAAATTAATTCCCAACATATTTCTAGTAGTTACGAAGCCACTTTTATTATACTTATTAGGGGATTCACTAACGGAAGGATACCATAAACTTTGGTACAGATTTTCACTCATAGTATCAACTTACAAAAAAGTAAAATGAACAATTTTAGTTTTCATTATGATTAGAATGTTTATCCTTTTTTAATTAATTCTATAAGGGTAAAGAGGAAAGAGTATCAGGTGATCGTGTACGTTCAAAAACTATCATAGTTGATTAGGTTATCATAATGGGAGATAAATTTAGTTAACCTTTTTGTTTTCATATCAATATTAGTGTTAGCGTTTACGTACTATTCATCGTTAGTTCAGTGTAATTATGAAATTTTATTGACTTGATTATCTTATTCAAATTGACCAATTTTTAACTACGTAGTGATAAGTATTAATATCAACTGCCCCCAATATAATTTTTAATTGGAATTTTAACAATATTTTATGATGCCTTTAAAGTTGATATTAAAGCAGATATTAAATAAATAAAATTTATAATACGGCAATATGTCCAATACTAATAGAAACTTTTCTTTTCTTGAGGCCTTGAGCCTCATCATCATCTAAATCTTCATCTGCAGAATTTCTATCATTTAACTTATGCTTTCTACGTCCGTCATCAGATTTCTCAGATTCATTATGAGACATTGTGTCCTCAGGCACATTGATTTGCTATTTTTTTTTAACCAAAAAAAGAAAATTGTTAGTTAATTTCGATTATATTTAGACTTCATAAAAGTTAATTGAAGCTACCTCTGGTTCTAAGTTAGTTGTCACTTGTGAATCCGGAGCTAAATTTTCAAAAGAAATATCCATTGGAATAAATTCTTGAGATGATGTAGGCTGAAAGGTTTCTTTTGTAATGAATTCTGACGTAGTTTGTGGTAATATGTCCTGATTTTCTTCATGGAAATCATCTTCTACGTCAATATTTTCTGGAGACATCTATTAATAATATTAAGTAAGGATTTAAATGAATTTAAATCAAATATTTATCTGATACCGATTTAACGAGAATACGAACTGGCATCACTCCAATATCAGGATTAAAGTAATCGTTCATTTTACGTATATTCTCTTCGGTTTTTATTACTTCAAATGGAATGTTTGAATTAGAAGAGCTACTTCCAATGACAGCTTTTCCCTTCCTTTTAGAAGGCTTTGGAGGGGGAGCAATAAACCCTTCAGTTTTCAGGCGGGTTTGAAGCTGACGTGCACAAGATAATTTTACACCTGCTCAAATACAAATAAATTAATTTCATTATTATTAGATATATTACAATTATTATTATAAAATTACCCAGTCGTTGAGCAAATTGTCGACATGTTGAGGGAATTCCTTCTTTCCAAATAATCCATAAAGAACGTCGAAACAAAGCCAAATCTATAAGAGCATCTAATTCCCAAAGATTGTTATTTTCATCTCGCAAGCATTGATAGCAGGTATGATGTTTTGACATGCGAGAATCATCGAGAGATTTGTATCCGTAACAAGGAACATGGCCCCATGTATCACATTTAACGCAATTAATCTATAAAAAATGGTTTATTATTATTATTATTATTATTATATGTTAGTCAACGTTTACATACCATTTCTCCGTCACGAGTATTTACACCGCAATCACATTTATAATTATGCGTATTATCCATACTTTCATTAGAAGATTCGTCATCTTCAATAATTACAGGAGAATTTTGTGAATTTACAGGTACATCGAATACATCCTGAGGCGGATCAAAAGTAGACGAATGACTGCGTCGTTGAGTAGAATAAGTCTTTAGTTGTGACGACTTTGAAGCAACAGATGTTGAACGGCGATTTCTATCCACATTGTCCGAACGCAAGTGGTCAATAGGTTGTGTTGTACTTTCATTTCTTGATACGCTGTTGCGCGACATAGATACTGTTGCAAATTAAGAAATGTTAATAAATTATGATTTCAAAACGGGGAAAAAAACCTTTGGTTACCTCGATTCGAACGATTAGTGCTGTCATCGTCTGATTAGTTTTTTTTTTAAAATAATAATAATAATAATAAAATTAAATTAAAGCAAAATTTGTATATTAAACGAGGGTCAACCAAATATTCAAAAATAATGAAACTACATACTATTATAAGCTTTCGTAGTAGTAATACTTTTGGACATTGACCTAGTTACCCTAGATGTTAAAGCTGGAACATTTGATACTACTGATATTTCTCGCCTATCTCTGGACATTGACCTAGACGTCAAAGCCGGAACATTTGATACTACAGACATTTCTCGTCTGTCGGATCTGTCATTATATTGATCTCGATTCAATGGAGGAATGTCAATCCTGGTTGCTTTTGGACCATTTTCAGAGTCAGAGTCATCTTCAGCATTCCAAGATTTCTCGTTATCCTTTATTGTATTATTCGATTCAACCAACATTTTATCAGTAACAGAATCATTTCCAATATCTTCAATATCAAGAACATCGGATATTGTTTGAATTGATAAATTTATGCTAAAAGATAATCGATTAATGTATTATAGGTTATTATATATATATATTTAATTTATGATATGATAGAACTTGCAATAAAAGCGAACCCGTGATACGCCGTGTCAACCTCACCGACAGGTATTTTTTCAGGTCGAGAGTTGAATATAAGACCTTCTTCAGCAAGATTACTAGCACGAAAAAATGGAGGCTCATAATCAGCCGGAGTTACGTTTTCGTAATAGTGAAGTTTGATAACTATATAACGATTGTCTAAGGGTAAACAAAAAATTAAATAGATTAATTATCAAATTTAAGAAAGTCTTAAGAAAAGTCTAAAGGCAACCTGGTAATGGCTAAAAATGAAGAGAGATTAATCATATTTTTCATAAATAATGATAAATAAATAAATAGGAAATATATTTACCTTTAATGTTTGAGTTAATAGAATTAATCTTCTTAATAATTGTTGGGTGGATTTTTTTATTTCACCAACAGTAGCAGCCGTGACGTCACGACCACCACCAGCGGTTGTCAATAATTCACCATTATTGTTTTCGATTCGTAGTAAAGGCTCGCCATTAGGATAAGATACTTTAAAAGTGTAACACTCCACAAGTTTATTTGGTTCTTTTGGATCAAGAAAGATACCAAAGATGATAGCACGAAGATGTTGATGATCTAAGGCATCAAAAATGCCAGCTTCCTGTAATAAAATTAAATAACCGAAAATATTTTGAATATGGTTGATTATTGGAATAAAATTAATATTAAGATAATTTAATCAATTTTTTTAAAATTAGAAACTTTTAAAAATTCACCAGCCAATCCAATAACGAATTTGCTTCTTGACTATAATCTCTCTTAAGATGTTTTAGAATAAGACCTAATTAAGCATAATTTAATGACAAATTTATATATTGTGTAATACGAATTAAGAAAGAAAGAAATTTAGTAGATCATATACTCCCAACTTGGTAATCTTCATAATTATCTTCTGGGAATAAACCTCTGAGGATAAGCAGGAATTTGTTTGACATTTATGTGGTAAGACAAAAAAGAAAAAAATTAGGCTAAAAGAATTACCTTAAGTAAGTGATCGAACTTAAACTAGTCTTTAATAGTTGTTTTACGATAGTCAAACTTTGAGTCTGTGTTACAACTTCAGTATCACACCTTTGTTTTGGATGAAGCTGTCGATTAATAGGTCAATGAAGGTTCCAAGAATTATTATTTAATACGCATGATTATTGAATTTAATTTTTATTTTCACAAGATACAACATACTTGAGCAAGACTTTGTGCCATATTATTTACACTTGCAAGAACGTTGTTTTATGCAAAGTATGTAGTTGATAATTGTTAACAATTATGATTTTATGATAGAAGTCGGAACCTAAAGTCGGTGATATACTACAGACCAATAAATTTAATTATACCGATGCATGGTACTTACAAATTCAAAATATAAAAAAAAAGAAATTAATTATGGATTTTATAAGATAGTGCCCTTTATCCAAGTTAAACTTGTCTTGAACGATATACTCGGATAATTCTGTAATTAGTTGATAGCAATAAGTATGTACGTATCAAAATTTATTGACGTTAACGATCCCATTCTAAAATTTCTTGTAATGATGATTAATTAGTAAATGTCATATAATTCGTATTCATAACGATAATAGATTTCCAAACTTAAACTTTACTATATCGAGAAATTCATACACCAAATAAATGCTTATGCTATGCTATGCTAAATAAATTTATTTCGATAATTAAATATTCCTTTTAATTGAAAATCGCAAATAATTTATTATATCCAAATTTATTACTCATGTATTAATGAATGAAACAAGAATATTCTTAAAATTTTGATAATTTAGTTAGGATCTTTATCATTTTATGTAAATAAATCATAATAACGATAGCCAAATTCTCAGAGTTCTTTTTCGCATTGCCTCATTTCAATCTTATAAAAGTCTAGATATTTTATTAATTTTATTAAGCAATACGTATTAGATATATCGTAACTTAAAAAACAAAAAGATAATGGAAAGTGGTATAAGATCAGATGTGCATATTCTGGAAGTTTTAAAAATCCCTTTGATTAAACTGAGAATTGCAAGTGCCGAGTATAATCAGGATCTTGAGGGATATGTAAGTTTTTCCGTCTTATTGGCATTTTACTTGTCATCTCGTTCTTACATTTTCTTAAATTCATAATTGAATAGTTATCATGTCAAGAATTTTATGAAAGAATCAAAGCATTTAATTCAATTTCCCTTAAATTATCAATAAACAGAATGATAGTACAAGTACCCTTTATATTCATCATGGCAACATTAATATTAAGTGTCGTGGCAGTGAAAACTTTAGGTCCTTTCAATTATCAAGATCGAATTATATTAGGGATTGTGTTATTGATATTTTTGGTTTTGATTATGTTCATGTATTTCTGTATTCATCAAAAACTAACGCACGTACGTAGGTAATCCGTTTCAAGATATTGCGATTTATTCAAGTTTTAACTAAACTTTTAAATTATAACAGATTAATTCTCTATCAACATTAATACAAGAATTCAATAAAGAAGATAATAAACGTAATGTCAATTGGAAATTGTATAGAGTAGAAGAATCACAAAGCAGTAGAGCATATTTTAAATTACGTCCTAATATTAAAATGGTAATTCATTATAAAATATTCTGCTTTACCATTAAATTAACCATCGAATGCTAACAAATTCTCTATTCCTAAAGTATTTGATAATTGAAATAGGATTACCCCCTGCATATCAGGCGGAAAATGTTCACATCACTATTCATGATAATGAAAGTACGGCGCTTAGTATAGAAAATTCTCCACCATACGAAGGATCTTTGGAATCTAACGATCATAATTCTTGTATTTCATTACCACCACCAGTTTATTCCGAATACTGATTACGTAATATTAATCACATGTGAATGCATCAAATGGATTTTTCTATAAATTCAATTTTTTTTTGATATCAATCCAACTATGTTTCGACAAACTTTAAGTCTTTTCAAAAATACTACAATGAGTAGACTCAAGGATAAAAATGTGTTAATGTATTTGTTCATTTAATTATCTATTCTTGAAGTTTTTTTTTTAATGTAATTTAAAGAGGCGAAATGATATTTCGAAAGGCAACTTTCAAAAAACTTTAAAGGACTTTCGAATAATCTCAAGTTCTATTAAATGTATTAAATTATTTGTAAAGAAAAAAAGGTCATCTGATTTGGTTTCATTTGTTTAAATAAATTTTAGCACTGGTGCTTCTGCTGGTATGGGCGAAGCGTGCGCCAAAGAATTTGCAAAAGTTGGCTCAAATTTGGTGATTGTTCTTTATTTCTGCTGAATTTAAACCTTCTTCAAATATCAATTCATGTTTGACCAATTCATTTTACCTTTGTTACTCGTGATCCAAATTAATCTTTGTTTCGATTCTTCGCTTTGTTCTTTATTCATTCTTAAATCAGATTCTAACAGCCCGCAGGATCGATCGTCTAAATGAATTAAAACAAAATATTTTATCTGAATATCCAAAAATAAAAATTTATACTCGTCAATTGGACGTACGTGATAAATCCACTGTTGACCAATTGGTTTCGAGTTTGCCTAATGACCTAAAGGATATTGACGTTTTGATTAATAATGCTGGTAACCTTTTAGACTTATCATTTTTAGAATTAATTGTATTTACTACAATTAATTGCATCTTTGTTTTTTTTCTTAAAAAAAAAAAGGATTAGTAAAAGGAATGGACAAGATTGAAAACGTTTCTGCAGATGATATCGATACAATGATCGATACAAATGTTAAAGGATTATTGTACGTTACTCAAGCTGTGCTTCCAAGAATGAAGGAACGTCAAAAGGGTCATATAATTAATATTGGTTCTATTTCAGGTTTGCTTTTTAACATCTTTTATCCGACCTTTGTATTAAAAAATGTTTGGCTTATTTATTGGTAAATTATATGATTATAGGAAAACAAATTTACGCTAATGGTGGTGTATATTGTGCATCAAAACATGCTGTTAATGCTTTATCGAGGACATTACTTCATGAATTGGTAACTTTCATTCATCTCATGTCCATCGTTTTCTATTAACATAAATATATGTTTATAAGTATACTATGTATCCGTATACATGTGACTTGTATATCAATTGCTATGAAAGGTGGACACTCCAATTAGAGTTACGGAAATAAATCCTGGTAGAAGTTTATTTTTATTTCTCTGATTTCTTTTTTTCTTATGATCTCTTATAGAACTTTATCTTTTTGTTTCCTTTAAACCTTTAAGGTATGGTAGAAACGGAATTCTCTGTTATCAGATTTGGTGGTGATAAAGCAAGGGCCGACAAAGTTTATGAAGGGATTGTAAGTTATGTTTTCTTAGTTGTATTACTGTTACATCTTATTTAACCGATTTCTTTTTTTTTTCAACCCATCTTTCCGGTTTAAGACACCATTAACTGGTGAAGATATTGGTATAAATTATCAATAAATATATATTAACTATTTGTCTATTTACATATTAATTTACTAATATTTTTTATTTATATCAAATTGTTTATGAATAGCCGAAACGGTTGTATTTGTTGCATCTAGACCAGACCATGTTAATATTGCAGATGTTACATTATATCCTGTCAACCAGGTAATTAATATAATTGCGTTTTTTATCGTATTATACTTTGTTTTATCTAATTTATTTTAAAAATAGGCTTCGGTTTACTTAGTGCATAGACCAGGTTCTAAAAAATAGCTACTTTATATATATAATAAAATGCTTTATAACTTGATTAAAATTTTTGTCATATCGAGAATATTATATATTCTATAACTATATTGAATCATATTATAGAAAAATCTAAATGTTTTTTTAATATACTTAATGTTTAATTTACGTAGATATATATTAACCTTAAATATATATATATTTATAGATTTCTATTTTTATTAACTTTTCATACGTATTTGTTAAACCAGTGTTTGCACTTGGATTATGCCTAATAAAAATTTCACTTGGATGAACATATAAAATTTTATATGTTCAAATCAAATACTACGTTAAACTATCTTCAAGTAGGAGATATTATTTGTTTGAATTGTTATAGCATTGTAACAAGAAATTTGGTTAGGTTCTAGCAGGCACGTTTGATTATGTGCCAGGTTAGTTCTAGACAACCAATCAAATTTCAAGATCAGGTGTAACGTTATACGATCAAAAATTTGCTTAAGAAATCACCTTCTGTGCTTTAATCAAAAGTTTTTCTTTAAACGATTTTACTAATATCTTTTTAATATCTAACTTTAATACAAATGCTAACCTTAACATCAATGAATTTTAAAGAATTTTGTACATTTTAGACGTGTGATTGGCAACATGCATAACTTGGAACACAATTCAGACATGCTTTTAACAGAATACTTAAGTTTTTTTTTGTTTTTTTTAAGAAAGGTTAAAATATTTAAGATGTTTGTAAACCTTATTATTGTTGTATTTATGATGCAATTTGATGAAATATGTGCAGTTTTTTCATATCAAAATATTAATATTGATTTTTTTTTATTTACAACCATTATGATTGTTAAGGATATTAATAAAAAATTTTTACTTAAAGCACTAATAGAAATTCTTATCTTAATGACAATAATATTTCAAACAGTACAAAAATAAAGATTAAAGTTGTATAAAGAATTTTTTTTATTTTTTAAGATAAGATTATGCCTTCTAGTCTTTATTAGTATATTTGTTATAGTTAGTATTATTCTATTTATATATTATCTATTATTATATATTTATTCAGATATAAAATTCAAACATATTTATTTGCAACCTAAACTTATCAGAGTTTTGTATAGTATCTTACTCACATCTAACTTGAATTTTTGTTTCACTACCAATTATATTAGGTAACTTGCATATTTCTCTTATGTTTTACAATCTATTTTTAATAATTTTCAAATTAATTTACTAAGTTATTTACTTCTTTTGAGTTATCATCTTTGGTTACCTGAAGAATGTTTTTTTAATATATATCTTAAGTCAGGTTTTGCTACTGCTGCTAACTTTTCAATTCAGATACTGATAGTATATATCTTAAATCAAGTTCCTGTTACCATTGCTGGTTTGTAACCTTTTTAGTTTTAGCATCATTTCCAATAGATTATATATTTAATTTGTTTCTTAAGTACTCTTTTTTATAGTATAGATGGAATTCTATTTCAAAAATAAATGCACATTCTCTTTCAACTATTAATCAATGTTTCTATTATTATTACCTAATGTTGTAAGTTTTTTTTTGATCTGTTTTCAATTAAGAACAATTTTTCTGTCTTTTTAAGAACATCTTAGTCTAAATTTATATTTAGACTAAAAGGTGTTTATATCATATTTAAGTAGATTTTTATTTTTAATTTAGATATTTTAATCTTAATTGGTATAGCATTTATGTTGGTATATTTCATTTGTTTTATTCTAAGCTTTCATATAAATGTGATTAAAATTTTAGTTTAGAATCTTTAGATATACAAAACAGATTACAACTTCTTTATACAAATAGTTATCTTTTATTTTTAGTTGTTCTATAATGTCAAAGATAATTCTAATCTTGATAAGACTAATTCTTTATTACAAATCTTTTATATATATATTACTTTTTTCATTATTCTAGTTTATGTTACCTTAGTATCATTCTTTCAATTAAATACTCTACAAGTTGAATGTGAAAATATTAATATTGTTCTATTTTCAAAAAACTTATATATACAATCTTTTGTGTAATAGAACTTTTTATAACATTATTATTACATGTAGTATCTATACTTTGCAAAGTTAGTTTTTTTTCAGAAATTTATTTTTCTATTATATATTGTACTTGAATTTGATCATAGAGCTTTGTGTTCAATTACAGACTTCTTATAAGTTACAGAAACTAAAATCTTTTAATTTTTGTCTCTAGTTGAACTTAAACTATTAAACTTGATTGTGAAGATATAGGAGCTTAACCATTAAGAATAGAGAGCATATAGATCATTTTTATATATTTATGTATGATATATTAAAATTTTCATTTAAAATTGATATATATTATTAATAAACCTTTTTTATTTTTTAATTAGTTAATAAAAAAATTTTATAATATTATAAATAAAATTATTTATTTATTATAATAAAATTTTAATGTATTGTATTATTTTAAAAAAATATATTTGTATATATAACAAAGTTTATTTAGATAGATTAAAATTTTCTTAGATGGTTTAAAAAAAAAAATTTTGATTAGTTAATTTATATAAACCTATTAGTTAATTTTATTTTATAATTTTATATTTTAATCTTTAAAAATTAATATCTTAATAAGTTTTTAACCTATTTTAATAATTTTATTATTATTAAAATCAAAAAGACCTACTCTATAATTTTTATTTAATAATTAAAATTAAGTTATTTAATATAATTTTTTATAAATTAAATATAAAAAAAATTTACTATTAGGTTTATATATAATTTTAAAATACTGCATTTTATCTTTAAGCTATAGGATTTATACTTATTGTATAAAGAATTATATTAGCAAATATAAAATATTTTAAAAAATTTTATATAAGATAAAAATTTTAAAATATTATAAAATATATTTTGAAATTTTTACAAAATATAAAATATTTCAAAATATTGTAAAATAAAGTTTTAATTTTTTTTTTTTTATCTTTATCTTCCTCCACTATTTTGAAGGTCCTTAGATATCTTTAGGACCTGTCACATCTTTTAAAAGCCAGAGTTATCATTTTTCAAAGATTATTGGACAGTGTATAGCCCCTGTATGTTACTGAACTATAAAATAACTTATGCTTCATTAAGTCTGTTATATGATGTTCTGGGTCTCTGGTTCTACAGTATAGAATCTACCATCTCCTTTAGCTTACAGTTCTCTAACTTCACATGACCTACCAGTCAGATCATCTATAAATTTCAACATTCTTAATTCTATATGTTTTTAAATCAGGCTCTCTTAATGTTAACTTCATTTGTTGACAGATTATGCCTTAACTAATTGTTTCTGACCCTATGACTATACCAGTTACTGCATTCTTTTTCATATAAATCTTGTTCTTGCTTTTTTTTTTAAATATAAATCCTTTGCAGATCTTTTTCAATTATAATTCTGGTAAAGTTTTAGTCACTCTCTAAACTTGAACTTGTGACCTTATAATTGAAACCCAAGAGCACTAACCACTGTGCTATTGACTCACAGGTCAATTTTAAAATTTTTGCAAAATACAAAATATTTTGAAATGTTGTAAAATAAATTTTGAAATATTTATAAAATACAAAATATTGTAAAATAAATAATCAAATTTTTGCAAATTATAAAATATTTCAAAAACATTATCAAATTTTTGCACAATGCAAAAAAATTAATAATTTGAAATTATTAATATTTAAGAACAAAATAAAATATATGAAATATTTTAAAATTTTTAGAATAATAAAGTTATACTAAAATTATTTTAACTATTTTAAATAAAGCATTATAAAATACATGTAGAGTTCTTTATTATTAAATATAATTATAGAATTACTATTTATAAATTAAGAGATCTAAGTTAAATATTTATAAATTTTTTTTTATAAACTAGTTTGACTAGGTTTTTAATTTAAAACAAATTAATCTTTTTAGAAATTTTGTTTCTTACTTAATAACAATTGTTATTTTTAAATATTTATTATTTATTTTATTTTATTTTTTATTAAAATAATCTTTTTGGTTTTTTGACTTTATTAATAACTTTTTTGTAATATGATTTTATGAACTACTACAAGAGAGTGTATAATTGGCTATATATATAGCTTTTCTATATTACCTATTTAAGAAGTCTGCCTAAAGGTTTCTTACTAATTGCTATATCTAATATTTCTGCTTGGATGTTCTACTTTAAATTCTCTAAACCTATAACTTGTATTAACTCACTGCATTATACCCAGATGCCCAAATTATAATCTTAACCTTAGGACTATTTTATCCTTAAGATAAATCCTTTAAAGCCTTCTGTACTTATTTTTATAGCTGACCTAGGTATTGCTATGACAAAACAATATTTGTGATCAAAGTTATATTATTTAACTGCTATACTCTTATAAAGTTCAACAAATCCTAATATTTACTTTATAGCATAACCCTAGTACTTTAGTATACTTCTGCCTTTTTGTTCAGACTTCCAATTCAGATAGTCTATGTAGGACTACAACTAATCTATCAGTATATTAGTTAGGCCAATATTTTTTTTCTCTGATTCATTCTGGCAGTCTGGTTGGTGATATCTCTGAAACTTTTAACTCAGAGATTCTTGCTTATTTGGATACTATAACTGAGTACTACAACCTTGGTATTTATTTCTTCAAGCTAGTCTTCACAGTAAAGCTATCAAAGATTTAATTATTTTTTTACTTGGGTCTTTTTAAATAAACTTCTTGTTACCTAATTTCAACAGATTTTATACAGCTACAAGGACTTATTTAGTGTATGTACTACCCAATTTGTCAGTTTGCATTTCTTTGTATAACTAATTATACAGATGCTTATGATTTGTTAGTTATGCTGATATGACTACTATTACAAATATTCTAATCTAATTGTTAGTTTTTTTTTTTGTTTTTTTTTAGTATTAAGGTGATCTCTTTGGCCTTTTGACTTTTATTAATCACTTATCAGTATTGTGGTTCAATGAACCACTACAGGAGAGTATACAATTGGCTAC